AAGTATAGACCAATAGGAATAAGTAGTTATAGACCAATAGGAATAAGTAAGTATAGACCAATAGGAATAGGAAGTTATAGACCAATAGGAATAGATAGTTATAAACCAATAGGAATAGATAGTTATAGGCCAATAGAAATTAAGCATAGAAGCTATCGAGGTAAAGGGTATATAAGGGGCTGGGAGGAGGACGTGCGGGCGCGGCGGCCGCCATTTTTTACCACAGTAAAGAAGCTTTCGAACTGCAACGAATCCCAGTGTCGTGTTTTCCTTTATCCCGCTGGCGGGGCTGGAACGCGGCACTAAACAGAAATTTTCAAAAGGCAGCCTGGGACAACAAAGCAAGATACTATAATGAAATATAAATCGTAATACATGATGGCTAATACTGAGCAGAATGGGGATTTTGAGACACTTGATTGCATTCATGTAAAACCTATAGGAACAATATCTAGACAAAGAAGTGGTTGTTTGAACAGAACAAGAGTATATTGCATGGCTTAAAATCAGGAAAGCTGTGCATCAGATTGAATCCTTCCTCTATGCCTATTCAGTCTGCATACTGAACAAATAACTCAAGAAACTGGATTATATGAAGAAAAACGTGGCATCAGCATCGGAGGGAGACTCATCAACATCATACATCAGATCGATCTTACAACCTTACTGCAGAAAGTGAAGAAGACTTGAAGCACTTACTGAAGAAGATCAAAGATTACAGCTTTACATATGGGTTATACCTCAACACCAAGGTGGGGGAAAAGCCTCATCTCTGCACCAGTAGGCAACATCATGCCAGAGAAAAGTTTGAAGTTGTCAGTGGTTTAGAAGACTTCCAAAAAATGCTTAACCAAGGCTGTCTGTTTAAAGACTAAGATGCCCTGACCCAAGCCATCCTCTTTTCAGTTGCTTTATATGAATATGAGAGTTGGGCACTGAATAAGGAAGACTTGAAGAAGGATGGAGGCTTTTGAGTTGTGGTGTTGGTGAAGAGTATTGAATATCCCATGGACTGCCAAAAGAACAAACAAATCTGGCTTGGAGGAAGAGCAACTGAAGTGCTCCTTAAAGCAGGGTTGATGTGACTTCATCTGATGGACCTTCAGCATGCTCTCAGGAGGAGCCAGTGCTTGGGGGCGGTTGAGGGGGGGCAATCATCATGCTGGGAAAAGCAGAGAGTTAGCAAAGAGAGGAAGAGCCTCAGTGAGATGAATTGACACAGGAACTGCATCACTGAGCTTGAGCATTGCAGAGACTGTGATGGCGCAGGGCAGGGCAGGGCAGGGCAGGTTGGGGCAGGGCATGGCATGGTTTTGATCTTTTGCCGTCAACTTGGCAGCACCTAACTACAGCTGTGCTGTGGTGTCTGGGGCAGAAAGGGTTTGCCAGGGAGATAGTTGATCAGTTGTTTCCCCTGCCCACTGGGCAGAGAAAGCTCCTGAGCATGGTTATCAGTAGTCCCACTGACGCTGTGGCAAATCTTCAGTGGAGCCATGTTGTTGTGTACTGTCGAGTCAGAACTGACCCATAGCTGACCCTCCAGAGAGTTTTCAGAGGCAATAAATCACACGGGAGAAGATTTTCCATCCTTCTCCTACGGAGCAGCTGGTGGATTTGAACTGTGTGCCTTTGGGATTGCAGCATGCTTAACACTAGGCCACCAGAGCTCCCTCGTGGATCCATAGAAAATGTAATGGAAGAGAATAGAAGCCAAAAAGGACTTTACAGATAATCTAGTCCTAGAGTAGCATATACGTATCTCCCAGGCATTATTTCCCTACTTCTTTCCCATCATAAACATCACCGATCAATCATGGTAAATGTTTGCTAAGCCTAGCAATAGATACTGAGTCAGAATCTTTCTCAATTCAGCAACCATCATTTGAGCTGATAAACAAATTGTAGTTTTTTCACCCAAATCCAGCCATTTTTCCAGAGCGAAGACAAGCCTAAAAAGGGAAAGTGGCTTGAACAAACCCACAACAAGTTGGTGCAAGATATTTAAGCAAAATTTAAGTAATTGGCATCACCAAAATGTCTATTAGGACCAGAATCCAGGCAGCTAATTTCCAGGCCAGGTCCTTCCCACTCACGCTCACTGTTCTGGCTGCTCAGGTGACTGTTCCAACTGAGAAGGATGGCAGGGGCCATAGTGTAGTCCCAGATAAGAGGTATGTCCTTTCTTATTTGCAGCCCAGTACACCAGGGATAAGGAAGAGGAGAACTTGAAGCAGGAGATGAGAGCTAAGCCCCTGGCCAAAGCAGAAAGCAAACCAGAAGGTAAGAGTGGGGACAGAGCAGCAGATATCTCCCTGCCTCGCTCCTCTCCTGGGTCAGTAGTGGGAAACAGCAGCCCTACCCAGGCCAAGGCTGAGGCACACCTCTGGGTGTCTGGGCCAGGCAGCCAGAGGGACAGTCTCGATGCCTGAGTGACCACCTTGCCCCATGCTGCCTTGCACTCTACTGCCCTCCTGCCACCTCCTCCTAGGATGCCCCTTTATGCCTGCTGGCCCAAGAACAGGCTCATATAACTCCCTATGCACCTTCCTCATATGGGATAAGCAAGGGAAGGGTTATTGAACTCCCACTCTTATTTGCTAAATCTTGACCCAGTTGAACTGTATGGAGGAATGGGCACATCATTTCTCCTTCCTTTCACTTCTACACAAGGATAACATTGCTAGTGATAGTCCGAGATCAACAACTCCAGTGAGAAAATGCCACTTGAGGTCTGATGACCCAACAGTCCAGCATCTTTGCATGACAGCAGGGATGGGGGAGCCACTGCCGTGTGGGGTCTGAACAGTGCACAGTACTTGCCTCATCTGCCCAGCAGCTCCCAGAGGAAGGTGGCGAGAGGTCACTGTTCACATCACCAGACTAGGAAAGTGAGGCTCAGAGTCAGCTAGTGTGTCCAAAGCCACAGAGCCAGGACGTGAGCCAGCATGAACCTCCGTCCAGCTCGCTAGACTTGCCCAGTCTCTTTCTCCCTGTGCTAGGGCTGCCTTTGAAACCAGCAGGGTCCTTTCCGAGAGGTTGCTAGGGGAAAGAGTCAGATCTTGAGGACTGGGAGCTTTCCTCTGTCTCTCTCCTAGCTGCCGCAATGGTTCACAGTGTTCTGGCCACACTGGCCAGGATGGAGATGCCTGTGACCATAGGGTGGCCATTTCCTCTCACCTGTAGGTATCTCAGTGGCCAGGGCAATAACAACTCATATTGTATCTTATTTTCCCCATTAACAAGGAATTCCCCAAACACACCTACTGAGACCCTAAAGTGATACAAGTTCTACTGCTGCCCTCACACTAGTGCACTTGCCAGTCACTCAGATCCCAGGCATCTCTACTGACCTGTCCATGTTTATCCTTTAAAGAGGAGGAGCCAGCTGAGCTCCCTGCGGTCACAGTCACACCAGCCCCTGCTGCAGATGTCCAGGGAGATCAGGAGGAAGATCCTGACAGCCAGGTAGGAACCCAGCCTGGCTGCTGTCTGCACAGAGGGAGGAATTCGAGTGTCACAGGCAAGGACCTGCTGTCCTCAAGACCTTCCCCCTGCAGGCCTGAAATCGTATTTGAGATTCGCTATTCTAAGGAAGCATTACCCTATCTCTGAAGATCACTTAAAAAATACAAATACTATATTGCTTTTATATCTCTAGGATATAAATCTAGTAGTGAGATTGTTGGATAATGTTATTTCTATGTCCAACTTTTTATTTTTTTCTATTGGAAGCCCGAGTGGCAGCCACTTCCTAAACAACATGCCTCTGGAAACTCTATGAACTTTGATAAATGTCAATAGTTTTAGAAAGGCTTCAAGCCTTTCATGGGTCATTATGAGTCATGCTCGACTTGAAGGCAATCAACAACTACAACATTGTGATTTTAATGAAAGTTTACAGAAAAGTTGGATTTTCATTCATTTATGATTGCACATTTTCCTCCCTGTCCTCTCCAGTTCAGTTTTAAAAAATATTCATTCATTGTTGTATAATTTCCTCCTTTCCCTCTCAACCCCCAGTTTACTTTGCTATTCTGGACTGTCGTCATACAAATAATGCCTAATCATATATACCCCCATGCCAGTTCTGTTTTAGAACAGTGGTGTTATGTAGTATTTGTCATTTTGTGACTGAGATATTTCACTCAGCATAATGTCCCCCAGGGTCACCCATGTTGTGAAATATGAGTTCCTTATTGTTCAGTGCTGTGTAATATTCCATTGTGTGAATATACCATAGTTTTTCTATCCATTAATTGTTTATAGGCACTTGAGTTGTTTCTATCTCTTTTCTATTGTGAATAATGTAGCAATAAACATGGGTGTGCATACATCTGTTTGGGTAGAAGCTTTGATTTCTTTAGGGTATATTCCTAGTAGTAGGATTGCTGGAGCAAATGTTATTTCTATTTCCAACTATCTGAGAAAGTTTCAGACTGCCTTCCTAATGATTGTTCCACTTTTCATTCCTACTAGCAGTGAATAAGAGTTCCAATTTCTCCACAACCTTGCCAGCTTTTGTTGTTTGCTTCCCTGTTGAACTTTACTATTTTGTGTTAGCTCTCTGTTTTGCATATATACTTTTCACTGTTTTTAGGAAATTCCCCTCTGTTACTATTTTGTTGAAAGCTTTAAATAAGAAAGGCTGTTAGATTTTGTCAAAGGCCTTTTCTGCATCAGTTGATAGGATCATGTGAATAGCTAGGGATTTTGAATATTTCTGCATGTATCTGTTTGGTGAAGTGCCTGTTCATATCCTGTGCCCATTTTGTGATTGGATTGTTTAAATTTTTCTTGTTGAGGTTCTGGAGTATTCTATAAATTTTAGCTAAAGTCTCTTACCATATATGTTATTGCCAAATATTTTTCCCCCAATCTGTTGGTTTCCTTCTTACCCTATTAGAGAAGGTTTTTATGTGCATCAGGATTTGATTCTTTTTTTTAAGTTATTATTAAATTGTATTAGTTTTAATGAACATTTACAGGGATTTGGGGTTTTCATTCCTTCATTGCTGCACCATTCTCTCTACCCTCCTCCGCAGTTTGTTCTTCTTCCCCC